AACTAAAGCCATTACGGACATTTTGGAGAATTGGCCCGAGTTTGTTGCCTTAGTTTTGTTCTGTAGGTTTTTGTGCACCTTAGGTCTCTGTCCACAAATGGACGTTGCCTACAATTGTACGCATGCACAAGCTAGGCCCAGGGTCAGGCAAAACCACTCTAATGGATAAAATAATGCCCTGTCTCTGTGAGTTTGCCCCACTGGATAAGCTTTTTGTATACATGTCACCGCTGTTTGTGAAGATTGAAGATATAGGGGGGTATTTTAACTGTGGTGCTTGATGTGCAATTTGATGTTCAAAATTTTGTTGAACAAATACGTGCAAAGTGTTGGACTTTGGCAGATTTGCAAAGTGTAAAGTGATTTAGGCTTGAAGAAGGAAGAGCGAAGATTCTTCCAATGAAACAATTCGCTTAAAATTACATTGTAATCTCCTTTTTGCTTAAGAAATGAGTGATTAAGCTACATGCTCCCAAAACTCTGAAAAGACGGCAATCATTAGCATAAGGCGTGTAGTCATATCTTTTTAGTCTTTGTACTCATTTCTTTGGAATGTAGCATTTCTGTTAGACTTCTTTCACTTTCTTAATCGCAAGGTGTCATTCCCTAGTCTGAGGTTTGTCGAGTCTCAGAGATCCCATTAACTGATCGGCACGTCAAAGAAAGACAACATAAACCTCTGTAAACAAGACTTTTCTGTTGCCAGTTGGGAAGTCGGCGAACAGTCAAACCGACAAAAGGCCGTGTTTTTCTTACGGTAGTGATAGTGTTCTCGGTGAATGGGACGTGGAGCAATATGAAAGATTGTCATTTAGTTTGAAGTGTTGTGGTATTGTCGACTTGTTGCTGATTGCAAGCGGACTTGTCTTTGTTCTGGATCAAAGAAACATCTATGGCTTCTTCGCACACAGACCGGCCTGTGTTGCAATGCATGAGTCAACTGTTTCTCTGCTACCACAAAGACAAAAGTCATTCCAAATATCTCACAGCACGGTGTTTTATTTTCAATTTCCTCAGATAAAGAATCCTTCACTCTTGAGAAACATAAGTCAGAGGGGCGTTGATTCCCAAAAACCACATCAGTATGGTCCAGAAAAGAAAAACGTTCAACAACCTACTCCAACTTTCGATTTCAGGGTTTAACATAACCAGAAAAGAAACGCAAAGGAAAAGAAACAAAAAAACGAAGATAGTGTCAACAATATGCAAGGCTTGGATAAAAGGAGATTGAGGCAAATTATCCAGCAGCTCAACAGGAAGGGTAAACAGCTCGAAGGGAAGACTCCGCTAGGAGACAAAGTTGGAGCTGAAAGGATGACACCATGGCAATCTCCTGGGTGTGAAGAAGCAACAAAAGAGACACAAAAGCCAAGGACATCGCAAACAGGGAGAGGGATTTATCAAGACAACAAACCCCTAACAATCCCTCCTCTATGCTTACTTTCCATCCTCCTTTGTCACCTTGAGAAAACTTTCTTAGCTGCAAAGGGGGCAGTTCTACAGGCAGAGTGGAACAATGCACCCTTTCTTCCGAGACTTCTCTTTTAACCAAAATGTCATGCAGGAGTTTTACCATGGTACAGGATCATTAGGGGTGGTTTTCTTTATGGGCAAGGGGGGGGGGGGTAGTGCTTAGGTGAAATATCATATTTCTTAGAATGTACTGTTTGACATCACCATGTATCAATGGACTATTTCAGGTTTAACAAGAAGTCAAACCCTCCTTTGGTTTGTGCACATTACTCACATTGCTTGTGACTGAATAAGACCGAGCCATCGTAGTCACCTGACCAAAAAATGAAATCTAACTGGTCGGTTGGAACTGTTTGATTGATGAGCAGGAACGGTCATTATCATGTGTTCATATCTGTGGTTTTACATCTTTCGTAACACGTCCTAGACTTATTTGAATGGCTGATATTCTGTGTATTTTCTATCACTCATACCTACATCCTGCACACACTATTTCTGCTATTATCCTCTGCCTTTGTCATGAAAAGTGCCCTGTGGCAATTGCTAGAAATCTAAACCAAACGGAATAGAAATGATGACCAAGATCCCTCCCCAACAAAAAAAGATTGAACCGAACTTTGTATCCTGTCACCAGAAAACTAAATTCAGAGCTCCTAGTTTACAGCTTGCTCCCTCACAGAGAGAATTGTCAAGATTACCTAATTGCTAAAATCTAACAAAAATGCATAGGAAATTCAAGAGTTAATCCCATTCAATTTGAAAATTTACTTTGAAAGTTAATTTATCAGATACATCCATGACCATATCATAAATTTTCAACACAGATATCTGGTGGGTCTAATTTAAGGAATTTAAAGAAATCAATACTAAACTTACATTGGAACTGAATGTACACTGGTAAGAAATAAACTCTCATTAGAAGTCCCTAAAACTTTTTCATTTGAAGATGTAATTTGACAGGAATCAGTATCTTCCATTTGACTTGGGGGAGGAAGAGGGGGCAAGATAAATAACAGTGGGTGGTCCTGGGATGGAATCAGTGGGCCGATAACCCCACCAAGGTCAGGACGGTCAATGAAGAATCCACAGTAGTAAGTGCGTCACCATTCACCGAAACAGCCAATTAAATTGCCGGATCTATTCAGTATTCACCTGTAGGGTGGGGTAATTGGCGGTACGTTTTAGGTCAACAATGGAGGGAGTCTATGGCAGCCATTGTTGGGGTACCAGTCGGTGCTGGTGAGCTGGCAAAGAACGATGGGTAACCTTGCCATTGGGGGGATGGGAAACCGGGGAAAAACCACATCACAAATCACCTGATGGTGAGTGGTTCTAATGTCAAAAAGATCAGGCTCATTTGGGGATGTAAGCAGAACAAAAATTGTTAAGCAAAATTAAGTGATAAGAAAATATCCCTGCTTAGCGGACGGCTTATTCCATCTGCTTGACTGACCTCGGAGCTTGATTGAAAGAAAAAAAACCACTACACTAGACTTCCTTACGGACAACAGTGATTTTGGTGACTTGTATTCAAATTAGCATAATAACACTATTCTTGCGAATATTTGAAAGATTTTTTCACCATGCATGGTTGAAGAGGTATACCTAACTACATTATAAAAAAAAAAACCACAGTTCCAATAAGTTAGGTAAGTAGGTTAAAATTCCTGTCAAAAGTGTGTTTCCTTCTTTTTGCATGACCATGTATGTATTTGTTTAAAGGTACCTCTTACAATACTCACTTCTTTTGTTCTATAGGTAAAAAAAAAACCTTTATGGTAAAACCTAATCAGGAATTCCAGATTTCAATAAAAATTCTATGAACATTCTGAAAAAAAATCCTGAAATTGGGAAAAATCCTTACAAATCTCATGCCTGTTTAGTAGGTGGTATTTTTAAAGTTCACAAGCTCAGCACTAGTTACCGAGAATCAGTAAAAAAAAATATGGTATGGCATTGCTTTGTTGTAAAATTGTCAGTCTGGTAGCCTTTTCAAAAAGCTTTAAGCAACAGGAAATTTTGCAGTTCTAGTACGGTTCTGAAGCCAAACAGATCTCCAGTTGAAAAGGGTTAAAGATAAATGGAAAAAAGATTCACCGACTTTTGAAAAGGCTTTTATGTTTTCTGTTGACATGGATCAGCTATCCAGTTCATATTACACAACTTAATTAATCCTTTACAAGTTTGTGCCTTTTCAGGATATCCAGACAACCCTGGAAAAGGTTGACAGTAATCAATCTTGACACAATCCACATTAGATTTTCATGCCATGCTGCTGATTTTAATCTTGCGACACAATTAACTGAAAACCGCAAATACTTCTCGCTTGGCTGACTTTTTGGCAGTTCCGCTTCAAGTTCAGTGAAACGGTATTTTCTTTCAAACTTTTTGGTATCCCCATTCCCCCCCCCCCCCCAAAAGTGAACCCAGTTGACTTTTTCTCATTCAAGCAGTCCAGGAAATCCTGGTTTGTTGGTTACAAAAATATCTTACATCTAAAATGAAAGCATTTAAGAATACTACAATGATTTTATGAATCTTTTCTCATGTAGAAGTATTTTTTTGGAAACTTACATTGTACATTTCAATCAATACTGATATACACTCAAAAGATTTGTGTTGGACCAGTTTGCTTTCTTCAGTGAGACAGAAACCAGAACAATTTTTGCCACGGTTTAACAGGGACACCTCGGCACTTTTACAGGTACGTGTGTTTGTCAATCTGTGTGATTTCTATCCCTGTTTTATCGAAGTTGGTTTCTCTTGCCATTAACCCTCCTTCTATCTAAACAGTCACAGGCAGTCAAAAACTCAATCATATTCCCCTATCATGCCTTTTACACAGGTTAGTCACCAACACTCAGATCATTTTTCAAGCAAGCACTGTGACTAGTCAAAATCAGTCAACAGACAAAAGCAGGCAAGCGGTAGGCGCAGCTGGCTTATCAATCACCTACAGTCAAACCATAGCTGCATCAAGTTACATAAACAGTCAGAGCCAGTCAATCCTGCTTTATGTAGGCTGGGAGCTTTTAATTGTTAAAAAGTGTCACTTGATTTTGACTGAAAGGACAACTCTGCACAGAATGTATGTTTGCATAGGAGGGTAAAGGATGGAATTCTTGAAGGTTTTAAAGTAAAAACCTACTTTTTTTAATAAGTGAATAAATCATGTCACTTCAAATACACTGCGAATGACACCGACTCCCATTCACAAAAATCATGAATTTTTGAGTCAAAACTAGTAAAGGAACTCAACCATAATATGTGTATTATCCACTACTGGTTTAATTTTATCGGTTACTACATGTACACACTCTGCCACCTCAGTGTACCACAGGTGTGAAAGCTCCGTCTCTGACACTATTATCTGACACTACAATACAATGCAACCACCATCATGACATCGCTACAATTGTGGAACTGTAGTCATGTTTTGTCAAATCAAATGCAGTTTGATTTGCCTTGATTACTGAATTTTTATGAGACAACTCGTTAATAACACAAGTATTGACAGCTGAACCTACCTTTATCCTTCGGCACCGAGATGAAATGGTTAACGAGAGACTCTTTCTCAATGATATAATCTGAACAGATTGGGCTCAGGAAAAACTACGCAATTTCATTTCCATATACATTATATGAACTTCAAAGAAAACTTGCAACTGACATTTTGTGGAAGTTGGTCTTTTTACCTAGCTATGTTGTAACTGTACAAATCACGTCATGCGGCTGAAGACGGGAGAGCACATCAGTGCACTGTCTTTAAATGTAAAAGCAACTTAAGGCTCGAAACATAAAAGGATACACGTTCTTTCATCATCATTTGCGTGTTCTAACTTGTCAGCCTCCTTACCAAAAAGGACCTACAGAGAAAAGAAAGATAATAAGAATGTATTGAAATTGCCTTAGTAACAGTTTAATTTAAAAAATGTTCAAAACAGCTTTCCCCCTTTTAAGTTCATACAGCCCTAGGCCCCAGTGCAGTCTCCATATCTCACTCAGATATAGAGTCGGAAAACAATCAAAGCATAATTGGCATTATGACCTCTGACATGGGGTCAACTCAATTAAAATATTATAGTTTTGTTTGTCTTGAGTCAGTTGACTCGCCACGTCAATGTTTTTTCTCTGGTTAAGTTGGCATAAAATTACAGAGAGTATTTTATTTCCCTGCTCACCAATTCCTACTTGTAGAGAAGCAACTGGTGTAAAGTGGCTTGCCCAAGGACATAACATACAGCAAGCAGCCTCTGATCATGAGTCACAAACCCTAACAACTAGGAATTTTAGACCACACTGCCAACATTTTAAGTATTAACATAGACAAAAGATGTGGCTCTTATTTGACCTTTCAACTTCATTATAAAGTATCCCTGTCGAACAGTGCCATTGCTTAGTAACCGTACACACCTTCCAGACATTTGCCTTGATGAAGAGAAGAATATTCAGGAGTTTGGTTTCTCTCTTCAGTCCTTTCTCTCGGATGAAGAGGAGGTCAAGAATCCGAACGCCGACATGCTGTCCCATCTCAGACAACCTGCAATGAAAACACAAAGTCAAAAGTCAAACACAAAATTTAGTATTATTTAATGGTCTCTTTCTGCTTGTCAAGACTGAATACTTGTCAGGGTCCATTTTGGAGATTTAACATCTCATGTCTTCAGATTTACTTCACACTTTCTTCAACATTGAAGTCCCTCATAATAAAATTCTAGTCTGAAAATTTGGGACTCTCAATACTGTGCATGAGCATCCCAAAATTTAAGGTATTGAAAACATGCAACACAAGAAAATAGACTGGCGCATGAATCAACCAGTCCAATACCCCCTTTACAATCGTGTCAAAAGAAACATGTGATACCTAGCTCTATTTTTACACATTCTTCATTGTCTGCCACCAGACTACTGAAGAGGTCAGTCTTTTCAAACAGTTGGACATGTACCAGTCTAGTCTTAGGCTTCAAATTGAAATCATGTGGCTTCACTCTCAGGTGCAAAATGTTGAAGAAAGGTCTCCTTTAAAACTTGATTGAGACCTCAAACTTGGCTGGTGAAATACTGAGGACTTTGTCTTCGCCTCATGAAAATTTTGTAGAATGTTGCCAGCCAAAGACTGGGTGAAGTTGGCCTGATTGTTGTTTGGCATGTCTTCTGCAGTCAAGTCCCAGTCTGATAAAATTCTTCTGGTACAATTTTTCAAGCAATGTCAGAAATCTTTGATGCGTACGCGTATTGACTTACTTGCTCTGTAACTCAGGAACGGAGCCGACCCTACTCTGACAGTATTGAACCATTTCAGAAAACAGTAATGCAAAGGTGCTTATGTTGACCTGTCGGAAAAAGAAACAATAAAAGAGAAATTTCTATTGTTTTGAGCACATAAACGGCAAGAGTATGACCCAAGGGTAAGCGAGAGTATATTCCCGCTCAAGACCGGGAAAGGCGAGAGTATACTCTTGCACCGAGAGTAATGCACACGCAATATTTTCTTGCACTCGAGAGAAGCAAGAGTAACATGCTCAAACGCACCCTCGTAGTTCTGGCTTCTTCTTTTTTTTTATCCAAATCCAAATTCAAATTACTACATTTCAACATCCGTGACATATCATCTCAGTTTGTCCAAGCTTGGGGCAAATAATAATATGTTGTTGGGTGTAGAATGTTTGAATAAACACACACGGATTTACCAGTACATCCCATCAAACAAACTCAAAATCCTGTGTCACAAAATTAATGATCTTTTGTCCGGTTAGTGGGCAATACGATTACAATGCAAATGTCAGACAAGTCGACCGTTGAGACAACTCGACTCGGGACAAGTCGACCGTTGAGACAACTCGACCGTTGAGACAGGTCGACCGTTGAGACAACTCGACTCGGGACAACTCGACCGTTGAGACTGCTCGACTTAATGGAAATGAATACACGTGGAGCAGAAAAAGTTGCACAAAATTCTGTGGCAAGACCGATCACGGGTGCGGCGCGGGCATACTCGATGTACAGAGGGCGTCGCATCGGGCCCCGTCGCCCCGCTCGGCCGCGAGGACCGGGCCAGGCCCGGCACGAGGGCACGTCGACCGGCGCGGCAAATGGGCGCACAGGCCCGGCAAAAACGATGCCACCGTGCACGGTACGGCCACGTTGACCGGGGATGCGCGCACGTGGCCTTGAAAAAAAACGAATGATGTGCACGGACAATCACGCTGCGCTATATTGGCTCTGTTATATGCAACAAAAAAAACTCATGTGTCATCACTCCCAAACGGCGATCAGCCGCCATCAAAATCCCCGGTACTATTCCCGAAACTAGGCCCAAAACATGCGAGGCGACTTGTCTCAACGGTCGAGGTCGACTTGTCTTTCCATTTATCGCACATACGGTCGAGTTGTCTCAACGGTCGAGTTGTCTCAACGGTCGACTTGTCCCGAGTCGAGTTGTCTCAACGGTCGACTTGTCTGACCCCCTACAATGCAATGATATTCCGCACGGACGGTAACACACAGTCACAGTCATGACACTGCAGTGCAGTGGGGGCAAATGTTAAGTTGTTTTGCACGACGATCATCATCAACATCTGAACATCTAAATCAATTTCACACGTTCCTCTATTACCAACATATCCTCCTTTGACCAGCGCGTCCATTTATCATCATTTCATGACATATTTACCTCTGCTTTCCCCTTACTAAGCTGACGATCGACGACGCTCCCTTTCTGCTGTGACCTACGTTCCGCCATGTTTATTCTTGTATTATGTCTGGTACCCTTTCATCGATCTGTAAATACAATGGACCGCATGAATCGTCTGGTGCCTTATGTCAAAGTGCGCCCTACCGACGGCTGTTTTGTGGAGAAAATGTTCAAGTAACTTCGCTGCAAATTTTTTTGGCCCTTGAAGACAATTAAAGTTGTAGCCGACACAACTTGCAAAGACAAAATCTTATGCAATAATTATTAACATAATCTTAGAGTGTTTTATTTTGATTTATTGGAATAGAATGCACAACTACATGAAAAAGTAAACTCATGTCTTTAGCGGAGCAAAACACTTCCTCTAAGATGCTCTCATTAAAATTGAACAAGTTTGTTGATGCCTTTCTCTTTGTGTGCCGTACTAGTGGCAATCTCCTTGCCGATTGGGAGGGGTGCTCTTATTATTTGTACTCAGTTAAAGGCTGAAATTGTACTACAGTTTCTCAAACTATTTAGATGAATGTCCGATCGACATCGATATAACCTACACTTCCTCAAGCACATCAACACATCTCACTTTGGTAAATACTCGACTCTTTTATTCGCAATGACTTCTCTTTCAATACAAATGGCCCGTTACCGATTACTTCTGCAGTTAGGATGTGGCATGAATTGTATTGTACAACCCTCGCTCTCGGATCTTACAAAGCTTTCCTCTGATGATGTTCCACGTGTCTTGGCCTTGGGTAGCCAAGTTTCTTAAGAGATGTATAATCCCTACATCTAGGATGCAAGTCTGTGAATGATAAGTTATTACGGGGCAAGTAATTGAATCTTTTACTCGCGAGAGTTAGTTTCCAATTTTAGCCCGGGATGCTAAAAGTAAAAATAGGCGCAGTCAATCTGGCATAATAGCGTCTAAATAAAGATAGTGAGCCAGGATGGATAGTTGTGTATGGAGCGCCAGTTAGACAAGATTCCATATTTTCTATAAAGAAAAAAACCTATGAAGTGTGCAAAAAATAAATTGAAAACCAAATTTCTAATACCTACTCTGACCACAATCTTCCCATTGATCTATGAATATTTTTTTGTAATAGAGCCCTTTACTCTTCATTGCTTTTCTTCCCGTATGAAACTTCTTTCAGTGTTCCCTTTTTTTCTTTCGAAGTCCGATCACTTCAAGTCAAATATTCCGGAATAATTGGCAAAACATACTGTAGCCTTCTCGAATGTGTCATTTTATCGACCTTTTTGAAGCGATTTTGATTCGTGACTATCACAACAGACGACATATTGATATCGCGCGCTATTATGAATAGGCCTACATGTAGTTTTCATATAAGGATTAACAGCTTACGGGGATTAATTTATACAACAAGCCTATGTTGCGTGATCTAGACTAATCTTAATAACCTTTCTAATCCCATGAAGAGCAAATCCGACTTAACTTTACTTTGTGTCAAAACTTCAATGGGATCTTTTCTTATCATGTAACGAGAAGTGCAACTCTAAGTATTCAAGATACACATCTTACGTGTATGTCACTTCATCCATCATTCCATGGATTACCTATTTCACAACCAACCGCGGTTCGTCAACCGACAGATATTTCTAGTTCTACCTGGATGATTTACTTGGATGATTTCACTGATGCCCTTCTCTTCTAGATGGGTGACTATTCACTGTTAGCATCTTAAGATCGACCTTCCTGGCTAAAAGCCATAGGAAACGGGCTCCTGGAGGCTGTGTAGCTGCGAAGAATGGTCGGTTTCTGCTTCACTGCCACTGATGGCAAGACTCAAAAGCCAATCCGGCTTATTCACAGAGTCGACTAAGCCTGGCTGTCCCCCAACAAAAGGGCCCAGCTTTTACGCCAAGAAAAAAAACGAGACCCTTGAAAGACTTGAAAGAGTGAGTGAGAGCAGAAGACAGAGTCTTCCCTTGTGTCCTCTTTCTCTCTTCTTTCACCTCTCAGTGTTTTGTCCTGTCCCCCGCATTCGTCCACATCTACCTGTTAGATGAGCACGTCTGGGGCGGGACAGAGGCCACTTTTAACCCCTCCGGGAACCCAGCGAATTCTCGCTAGTTCTTACTCTTTGGTACAGCCAAACAGGATGTACTAGCTTTGGAGATCCGTTGTATATCGCAATCGCGAGGATGCTTTTATCTTTTGCAAAACCCCTGATGTTGAAAGTAAAAACACGACGAATTTGCTGAGGAAATATCGATGACGTTATCCATTTTCTGTACAGGTTTGTGTGTGTTTGAAAGAGTCGTGTTTACTGAAGCTTCTCAACCGACGTCTCTTCAACTCCGTGAGCGTTGCTTCCACCTATAACTTCAAGCATCTGTACAGTATGAATTAACGGTATAGGAACTTGCCAAACAGAACTTTCCTCTGCTGTTGCCGAGGCTTTTTGTCGGAGAGTGTTACGCCGATCGCCCAGCTGATAGGGGAACTATCTTGAGTCACAATTTCTTGGTTGAAGTTAACAGGTATGTCTTGATGTATCACATAAACCTATCACATTTTATGAATTTATTACTATACAATCAATATTTTATTCGAAAGAAAGTGTATGCTTCCCCCCACTTTCTTGCCGTATAATGTACCCTTTTTTATTCACGAAAATACTATAAAAATGTTCGAAATTCGTTGTCACAGCTTTCCAATCCTTTCCACATATTCAACAAAATGGTGTCAAATTACTGCAATCTTTTTAACTTGGTATGAAAGTTACCACCTTGATTTTATTTAATTTTAATTTCCGTAATCTGAGCAGTCAGTTCCCCGAATCAATGTAATACTTGTTTAAGTTCATTGAATTCTTTGAGAACAGCAAATTCACAATCACAAATAAAACATGTATTTTCCGCATGCAGTACCATTTTGCAAAGAATAGCACTTCATGTCATTTTGTGTCACATATGTGACGAAATGTTCTTCTTTTGCATTTTTTGTCTGAATAGTCTAGATCGCTAATTCTTAACTATTTAAACGGAAGTCATGTTTCGGAAACGAACACTTATATAGGATAAAATTGTGGAAGCACAAATCGCCAATGACATTTTATTGTAGATAAAAATCCGTAGGATATAAAGTCTTTGTTGGAATCTTCCAAAGAACGAAACCGTTCGTGTCACTGCCCTAAGATTCTTACTGTCTTGGGAGATTCCGACAGTCTCATCAGAATGCATCCAAATTGCCTGCCTTCAAATCCCCGAATTCCAAGGAATGCAAATCGGTCTAGTTAATCCCCAAATCATCTCTCCTATCCCCTTTCGTCCAAAAAGGCTTCTGTTTGCGTCTTTTATCGACTCACAAAAGAGGTTCCTAGATTTTGCTCCTTCGTGTCACACTGGATAAACTCATCTCGCTGCGTACTATTTCTGGCCAGGGTTTGTGTGTCTGTTTATGCAGCTAGCTATTATCTCTTCTCAGCTAATCTGATTTGGGGGGGGGGGGAATAAAATAAAGTGTGAACAATTTATCTCTTGAAGTGTGATTGCGAGTCCTCGTGGCAAACAAGCTATTAAACGCCAGAAGATTTGTGGAGTTTCTGTTACTTATTACTCAGCAGCCTGCGTAAACATCTTGATAACTTGGAAAATTAAAGCTAACGGTAGTTATTACTACTGTGTGTCTGGTTAGACTAATTGGCATTACCAGGACTTTCCAAATGGTCCAGTCCTTCAATGATTAAATTAATCCATTGGTTTGAATCCTTCATACTTTGTTGTGCTCCTTTACGTTTTGTGCTTGCGAATCTGTACTGACAATGAAGACGGAAACGAATCGGCAAACGACTTTTGACTTCGGCAGCTCAGTTGCCGAGAAGAAGTAACATAAAGCGGGGTGTCTTGATCTGGAATTGCGCAATAGTAGGTTCTTAAAAGCCCAAGAAATGATGTCTTGGAAATTGATAGTATGGTATTTGGGGATATACGTAAATAAAGACATCATGAACGAAAACAACAAAGGTTGTGAACTTCTTGTGATTTAGAAGCGTCCGAATTAGAACAATCACATTTTTAATTGTATGTCATTCAGCCCAAAACTTTAAAATTACTTTGTGACTTTATACGCATTTAATATACAGGGAATCTAATACCCAATGTGAGTATAATAGTAGACGTAGCATGACAAAACACACATTTCAGTGACACAAACCGTACAGTCATCTAAGATTACTCAGTTTCAGCAAACTAATTTTCCTAAAACTCAAGACTGTCAGGGATAACAAAAAATCGATTGAATAGTAGGTGACCTCGGACTGCCTTTTCGCTCTTAACGTCATAGCTTTTGTATTTTTTTCTCAGCCAGAAAATTCTCCAACAAGCCTCTATATGATTCTTTGCATTGGGTGTGACGTCGTTAGCAGATGTCTATTAAGGAATTGGACGTCTAACCTTGTCAGCCCAAAGATTCCTCGTAAGACTTTTTGGGGCAAAAAAAACTATTCACTGAGTAATTTACAAACATGAATCATTTCATTCACAGACTGTTTCTGTAAGTGTGCCTCAGTCTAATTATAAAATATATTTGTTTAGAGTGTTTGAACCTGTTCCCAATAGTACTTTCTTCTTTGTTGCCCTTTTTTTTTACAGACCTAGTGTTCGGGAACTAATTTTTTTTTTATTATAAATGTCACTCATTCATGTCGCCTTTAAGGCACAAAATGTCACCTATTTTCTGCTCTGTTCTGGAAGCATTGCCTGTTGCTAAGATGTTATTCGGATTCATTAATTGTGTTACCTTTGCAAGATAAGGCTATTGAAATGTGCTAATGATCTGGGGATTACAGGGATTAGGGGACTGTCATCGTGACTGGTGACGTCATTAATCGTCACCAATATCGATTATTAAAGACCATTGTCAGTCCTGTCGTATGACTGTACTATATTGTATTCTGTGGAAGGTTTTTAAAGTTTACAAATAGTGTAGTAAAGGAGATTATTTCAATTTTTGTAGCACTCCACAACGGCTCAAGTATGTAACACGAACCTCATCAGCACCTAAACTAAATATCACCACCATATTCCAAACAGTACCTTCACGACCGCCATCACCATCACCACCAACACAAATTGCCAACTTCTCGAATAGATCCCTCATCCTTCATTGTAATTATCACTGTACATGTATTGTGACATTTTAAAAGAAAGCCCTAATGTGTTGACCCCAAACCTCTTGCTCCAATAGATTGTATAGTTGGTAAGATGAGCAACCGCTAAGTTGACCAAATTATAAAACCCTTATGTTAGTCGCCATAAAAGCCGACCGCAGACAGACAAAGATGGTGGTCTGGTTTCTACTACGGTGGCCCGTCTCCGACAGATTAGTCGATTTACCCACACAAGATTTATCCCCAAGTATCCAATTTACAAACTAAATAAACTGGTACGTCGCTTGGTATATCACTTTTACCCAAAAATATTATTAAAAAAAAATCGAAAAGGGGATCTTCTAGCGGTTCGTACAGTCTATAGCTCCCAATAATTTGTGTCTAAAAAATATAGTTTATCCACAAAAGTTATACAAAATCGGAATAATTTAATGTTGAACAGCTTTACTTTGAAGCCGCCGCCGCCCTTTGGACGCATCGCGTCTCGTCAAGCGCCGGCTTTTATAGATTTTGTCCTAGCGCCCTCTTGAGTCCACTTGTCTTTGCACTCGACGACTGATGCATGAACACGTTGCTAAAATCAGAATGATGAATAATCGGATGAAACAGCTTGCCCAACTTCCGCTGTCACTGAGGGGATAGGGCTCCGTTTGGTTTTATTTTTGGATTGAAAGAATCCCTGATATTTTTGGATTATGTGGTCCTAAAAATCGCAGCACACGATGTAAAAAAAAGTGGGGAAGAATTAATTATTGTTCTATTTGCTCCAAATCTCGAACACTGTTGTTAGGCTGGACTTAAATTGTGCAACATGCGTTTTTGTTTGTTACAGCATGGAGGAAGGAATAGGGGTAGGGTGTCAAAAGCACCTGCCTCAAATCGTTTTTCAACATATTTCGAAAATTTCCTCATTTCAATTTCATCACTCAGAATTCGAGATCATCAACCATGCACTTACGCTGCATTCCAGAGGAATAACCATAAAATTAACAACTTAAAAAAACCTAGAAATCGTGGAAGCAAATAAAACTGCCAGATTCCCCACAAAGATTCAACTTCGCAAAGCTTGCAAAGTGCCACTTATGAACCCCCTAAGTGCCGTGTTTTCGTTCTGATTAACGGCCTAGTTACACCGCTCACACGTCCCGCCACTGCTCCAGTTTTCCGCTTGAGTGACCCTGGTGCATTCCGCAGCGGTCCGGTCCAATAAACACGGGGCTTACAGTCACGCGTGGTGATTGGCTAATGCTAATAGGCTGAAAGTTTATCACTGTCACTCACTCAATGGGAGTAGGGCTAGGGACACATGGGCGGTGCAGACGGGCCAACATGTACAGTCCATGTAAATGTACAATGTACATGTACATGTACATGTAGATCTACAACACAAGCAGATATCACACACACGGTATGCCATAGTATGTATATTATGTGAACAGTTCTCTGATTTCCACTTGCAAACAGAACCCCACTACCGGCGCACATGCTTCTGTGACTGGACTGACTGACAGTTAATTCTCAATACGCGTACCCAGTTGATAACGCCGTACTACACGTGATCAATAGGAAGCTTATAATAGTGAAACCGCACGAGAACATTTCAACAGATTTTATGTGTCTCTCCGAGGTGAAACCACGTTGAAATCGACCCTTGTCAGGCTGTCAAACAATCCTGAGTTTACCGTGACTGCATTCATGCTTTTCGCAGGATTTGACACGCTGATTCTGAATGCGCACTCATACTATTACTGTAACAGTTCGCAGTGGAATCTTTCCAAAGACTTCAAATTCTCTAGCTGCAGTCTTTACAATCACAGTCATCCATATAGCAGTATCCAATCGCCTATGTGTGTCAGTTGGGAACTTAACCATGTGCTTTAAATAATGGCTTAAATATACAAGCCCTATAAAAGCACTGGTTAAAAAGCCACTTCACACCTTGACTTAGTCTAACCCTTGAACTCGTTTTGCCTCCACAGCCACAACAAATAAAGCCACACCAATTTGGATGACTCGCCTTCCTTGGATATTTACCCCAACGGATTTAACTATAAGGAACGGCTTTACCACAAGTGGGAACGGTTGCGTCTAGCTCGCCCTCACCCCCAAAACCACGGAGGATTATGTCATGAAAGAAAACATTGTCTTGGATTACCACGGAGTACTTCACTAGTGAGGAAATATTCATATAATTTTGAGCATGATAAAAACACCAGCCCATTGGGGTGATGTCTACACCACCATGTTACAGAACGTAGCACACGGTGGACAACCACTGAGTTGACACAAACCCTTGCACAGAAGTTTGGCCTGACTCAACCAATACACGGGAGTTTACGGCACCTAACACCGGCTTAGTGTGATCCGCTGCCTGTCCCGTCTATCACGCCAAGCACTGACAGCCAGGTACCCAACGGAGGACGCCGCTGCGCCTTGGGTAAAACAAAAGTTGAGCACCGGTCGCCCTTTGCCCTTCGACGGCGGGGGTAAAGTCACTCGGACAGGGCAGGGGTGAGAAAGACGTTCGCTTCAGCGCGCGGGTGTCACCAAGACACGCTGCTGCCGCACACACGGACCCAGCACCAAGAATGGGAAAATACATAGTGTGGATCCTGGTTGCATGGATGTTTAGCCTATTGGCCGTAGTGTACATTCGAAGGATCTTGGTACACCCTGATTTCAGTTTACATGGTAAGTAGCAATATACATGTACATCGGCACCAAATTGGTCCCTTCATAGTCCGTCCCTTACAAAATACTTCCGGTAAGGGGACATGACTGAAAAGCTGTCTGGAATCCTGTCTTAACTACGTGGCTCGTTTATGGGTTTGATCAAGTCATATCCTACTATTACCCCGGTCCTGATTACTCACAGTTAGCTTGACCCCTGACCTGTCATACCCGTTTAAAACCAGTAGTAGAACTAGAAGCGAATTAATATTAGACTACATTTTATGACCACAGTTAGCACAGCAGCTGTTTCATGACGACAGATTGAAGGGCAGGACATCCTTTGACAATATTTAGTGTGATTAGAAAAATAAGCACTTCCACGTTGGAGACTGGTACCAATTTTGGTTTATAAAACAAATCTTTTTCACAGGTCACGAAATGTCATGTTGTGAGAAAGCGAGTTGTAAAAAGGTTAATTGTCGTCTGACAGCATGCAACACATAAACGGATCAGTCGATATTTTCTGCGCAGAATTACTTTGCTTATTTTAATTCAAAGGTCGAGGAAATATTACACTCTGAATGAAGGGTCGAGTAAATATAACGTAGATATGGGATATCGGCGATGGGTTATGCATACTAGTCACCCAGAGTGTCAAACACTTGTTTGTTTAGATTTGCTGATGTAAACAAATATCAAATCAGAGAGTAACGAACAAGGTTCGGTCATGGCCTTACAATGTCTTACACTACAGTGAGTGATATGCTTCTCAACAATAGCACATTAAGGGCGTCATTCCAAATTCGAACTGAATCAAAGCTGATAACTTCATTCGTTTAAATCAGGAATTATACTTAATTTGTTTCCAATCCACTATCTATGTTTAAAATCCCTAACCTTACACATTTTTTTTTGACATTACCCTTCCCAATTCCCTGTTTCCGCAGATGATGCGCGTTTTTCAAGATTAAGAAGCCAGCAGCACCAAATAGTCGTACCAACATTAGTGGACGAAAACGGCAACCACGTGTCTTACGATATCATAAACAGCCGGAAAAGGACTCGAAGGGATGTCCATTCCAGCTCGGAATCCGCCTCGGACATCAGGCGGCTTCATTACAAACTCTCAGCCTACGGGAGCGAATTTCACCTGAACTTGTCACTCAACACCAACTTAGTGACGAGGAACTTTCTCGTGGAATACATGGATGAGCACGGTGTCAGTCACAGACACCGGACTGTGGATGATTGTCATTATCACGGACATGTCGCTGGGCATGATATCTCCAGTGTGGCCATCAGTAACTGCAAAGGCTTGGTAAGTGTCCGAATTACGAGGATACCTAATTCTAACAGTATAACCATTAGTATTCGTTCAATACAGTATTATAGTCTAATGGTCGGTGCAGAGGTAACTCTAATTTCTGAAACCACGTGGACCGTACTGAAATGGTATCCGAGAGTTGGATCGTGTCCAAAATGAACATCCACAGCTATTAAGGCTACGTCTCTTGTCAGCATGTCCCCAAGTTGTTGAAATCGCCACAGACCTAGACATGAGCCATAGACAAAAGATTTTTACGCGGCTTATACCAATTTCATTTTGAAGGAGACAAATAAAACATAAGACGCGCATAGAAGTGACACCGATGCTACGGTAAATAATACGGGTAACCCTGAATAAAACCCTTACTCTAACCCTTGCCCCGATTCTTGTACCTATTGCCTTTCCTCTATCTAACCCACAAAATCAATTGTCATGTTTTTGCAATGGAAATATCTTCGTTCTGATTTTCTTCGAATCCCATCACACAGACAATAGAAGACTCGGACGTGTACCAGTAGTTATTTATGACATAGGACATGGCACACGTGGTTTTCCCGGCCAACTCTTCGACCTTTGCCACTCAGAACTGCACTCGATGTTCATTGTTTACGTCGGGGATACATTCATGAAAGTAAACAACTTCAACGGAAATATGAATCAAATAAAACCTCGATAGCGCGGGATTTAGTGTTATCTGTCGCTACCTTTACAGCGAACAGACACCAGTCGTGTACTTGTATCACACCTACTATGGCGGTTATCAAAAACCAAACAGTGATGGACCGGATTTTAGAGTGGGGATATATTGGGCAAGATATAGCCGTGAGTAAATGCCATTGAGTGATAACTCCGAGTACAGCATGTCAAAACAAATATGGAGTGGCCCTAAACAAAAAGCACACACCGTATTGGAAAGGCAATACCACCCAGCAATGTCGAAACCCACGTGGATTTTGGTTATCAGGATGTGATGCTTGGTGCGAGCCACGTACATGTAGTTGCATTTTTTTTCAAGAGATTCTTTCCCTGAATTCAGAGCTTCTAGCGATAAATTAATAAACAAAGCCTTGTTTGGATTTAAACATGAATTCTGTAATGTTTCATTGAACTCCTGTACTCCCAGCGGATTCAATGTATATCATTGAAAAGTAAGCGGCGACTGTGTATTATAACAATACGTGTATCATGTAAAATACGGATATTAAATGCAAAAGAAAAAGACGTTTGCAAACCAAAGCTGCTTTAAAATGATATCGTTTTAAATTTTCAGTGACGTCATTTTATCATTCTCAAAGTATGCCTACCTGCATTTTTCACCAGTTAGTTTACAGACTTGAGCAAATATTAAAACACTATGATGATAAATTTGCTACTATAGAGGATGTACGTCATACTTGTTATCGATGTATCTGCCATTTATTTATGTTAACATCGATAAGTTTGCTGTAGCCGTGATTACATGAAGATCAATTATCAGTTTATTTCTACAGTCAATAAAATGACGCAAAACTGTCAGTTGGTACGCCTAAAAATAGACTCCAAATGACCAGTAGTTAAAGGTTATTCTCCTAATGAGCCACCTGAGGTAAACGCGTGTAACAGCAACAAAGAATGTCGTATGTGTTTTTAAAGACGTTAAAATTCGACATTTTTTTGGTTTTTTTTTATAAAGCGGATGATAGAAAAAAATATGGAAAATTGATGCCAGAGACTTGTTGTTGAGCGTGTGACCTCACCCGGTAGCTCTACATTATGCGCAATGTCTTGCCATCTTGGGTTCACATTCTTCAAGGAAGCATTCCTCACCAGGGAAGAATTGAAACAGGAATCTTTTCAGGCAACCTTCCTCAAGATTTGATGCACGTGTTCGCAGCCCTTTGAGGCGGTCCAGTAGAATATAATTGACCTCGAAATAACTGCTTAAGCTGTCCTCTACTTCTTAAAGAGAATTGTTTTTTTGCCTTTCTCATGTCAAGATTAATTACTTCCTAATGGCCCCGAGGAAGCGTTCGTGACTGCGAATTTAAGACACAACCCACAATTTCCAGGTCACTGAAAAGACAAGGGTTTTGCAGTTAACCTAGAACAGAAGACCCAGAACCGCATTGATTTTTAAATTTAGGACTTGACACAGATATAAGGTGTAGCCTGAAGTAAAAAGCAACCATGGAGGTTTTTTTCTGGTAAAGTTAGTTACCCTACGTACCTTATTTTAACCCTAGCCAGGACATGCTCCACGCATGACTAGGGAAGCAGCTTTCATCACGTCTGGATGCTAGCTCAAGGCGGTACACCTGCAAGGCTTTTGCGTCTTGTCTACGTGTTGCTTCTTCCGCGCCTCGGGTGGTGAAGCCTCAGATATTGCTGCGGTTTATCGGCCACAGTCGTAGGACTTGGGGTAGTCTCAGCTTGCATGCGTAGGATGGGGTGACGGTGAAACACCTTTGACGTTATAAAGGAGGAACAAAACATACGGGAATCGGGACGGGGGAAGGGGAGGGCACGACATGGTGATAAGGTCTGTTGAAATTCACTCCACATGGATAGCCTCTTTAAAAAAAAATGGGTCAGGCTGAAAAACGGAAATAAATGGGCAGTTTTGTTGGGTTTGGTGTTACTGTTAGTGATAGCCCATTGAGAAGTGGGTCATGAAAAGAAAAGGTAGGCTTATATACGGGGATTTTGCATTTGGCTCTTATTTGTCTACTTTATAATGTTTTGGCCTACGAATATTTAGTCAAAACTCAACTTTGTACCCGCAGACATAACATGAACAATAATTCATGACAACGAAACCAAATACATGTATACAGCATGCAGCTTTTCGTTTTTCTGACCTAAGTTTAATTTGATGATTTTTTGGCTTTGTAATTGTAACTAGGCCTTAATGTAAGCCATTCTATAGGCATAATGCTGTACCTATTTTGGGACGATAACCGCCGAATCATCTATGCAGCACCAATAGTTATCCAGCCTTGCAAAACGGTATACATTGTATTGGAATTCAGAATAGAACGCTTGAATAATGTTTCCCTTGCGGCTATAGATCATCCCAATCGCTTATGAGCTTTTGAGTTCTGTCAGGTAGGGCAGAGTGTTTTCCGATCCGTCTCAAGTTGTTAATTCACCCGTCATGACCGTCTGAAAAGGATTCTTCACAATCGGTCTGAAGACTGCATGCGTGTGCATCACTCAGTCTGAAAACGCAATTCCCTAGTGTTTGGAGGCTTCCGAGCGAAGTTTCATCAATTCATTGAAGTCTTGAAATGTTTAAGGTAGCTGTTGTATCTTGGAGAGTCCCAGGGTAGGCCTGTGTAGGCTGTAATCGGGCAGACTGGGGTGAATATGGTGTGATTGGTTCGGACCTTGTGGCAGTCATTCCGATCATGCTGCCATGCACGAACCGGAATGCGCGAGGTCGCCGACGTCATGACGATAATGCTCCCGTCTACACCTTTTTTTTATTAAATGACTAATAATTATAATGTGAAAAAAAGTAAAACTGCTGCAAACTGCTTACAGACTGGATGGACCTGAAATATATAAATCTTAAAATTAATGTGGCCTGACGTTGCGAACTTAGCAAGTTCTTCTTCAGAGGCTAAAGAAGAAGAACTTGCTAAGCCTCTGAAGAAGAACTTGCTAAGTTCGCAACGTCAGGCCAAATTAATTTTAAGATGTAATAATTATAATGGTTTGAAATCTTACGTCTAATCTTTAAACTGATTTCATAAAATAAGTTCACTGCGTTAATTGCTTCATGGAAGGCAGTATTTTAAAGGTAACAGTCCTTATCTTGAATAAGGTCGGAAGTCAGTCGTTCCAAAAGCTACAATGTCCGCCTTTGAATAAGACCAAAGTGAGTGGCTCGAATTTATACAGAAATGTCTGCTGTAAAATCCCAGTTGGTTTAAAAGTTATATCCATTCGGGATTTATTCTTACATGAAACTTTTCGGCGAAGATCAAACTGCTACCACAATAGTGTCGCCATTGAACATGTTTTGAACGTGACATGCTAAATCACATACATCTATTCATTCCTGGACATGACACTGTCCCCTTTTGCAATTTCAGAGACGTCATTGAACTTTGTTCAAAATCCCCGTTGAAAGGAAAACATTGACGTTTATAAGTGGATCTCATATGCATAACATTAGACGCCAAATAATCGATTTCTCCAAAAGGAAAAATCTATTCTGCATTTTCTTCCATGGTAATTGATCCATGGTAATGTCGCCTCAGGACTGAACACGAGACGGTTGTGAGTTGGCACCGAAAGTTGAGTTGTCACACAGGTTACCGAACACGTGGAGCATTGGAAATGGATTTGAAAGCGCGGCCGACGTGCGCAAGTCACGTGCTAATCTCCCGGATGTCATCTCAATCACGAGTTTTTATTTTCCAAAAGAATACCAGTTCAACTAATTCCCGCAAACATATTCATTCACAGAAATAATCATAAAACATAAGATTAAAATACTTAAATTTCAGACAGGTATTTTTTTTTATTCCATAAAAATAAATTAAGGAGCAGAAATTACTGAGATTGTTCGAGGCCGGTTAAAAGAAATATGGCTGCGCCCATCGTCGACCGTGTTTTGAAATTGTGTGATACATACAGGTTGCATCGATATCTTTTGGCATTATTGAGACTTTTTAACAAGCCATGTTGCCTAACGAATTTAACATACATCATGAAAAAAAGGTAAACAGAACTTCGGAAACTTTGGGCGGGCTCACACTCACACTGTTAACTTGACACTTTTTCTCCGGCTGTAGTACTGAGTAGTGTTGTAGTACGCCTCTCTAGTCGTAGTCGTAGTCTCGACAATCTCAGTTAATAATGAAAGTTGCCCCGGGCCCCGTCGACATAACGAAATAATCAAATAGTATCGACGAATTGGGAATGCGAAAGAATGTTGCATTCTCTAACGCCACTTATTATCTCAAAGACTCAATAAAGGTCAGTCATTGCAAAAATGTTCAAAAGACATGAATCTGGGGCTGAGAAACATTTCCATGTTCGTTAAAAAAATATTTGAAATTATGAAAATGCACTCGACTCTCCAGAGACTTTGTACACAACCGAAGAAGTGACACCTGGCCCTTGGGTACTACATTCTTTCCCTGAAGAGACTTCTTATCCTAGTGTGTCAAAATATAAATTTGGAACAAATAATAAATATGAAATAAACATTTCCAATTGTTAACAAGCTAATAAAGTAGAAAGATTCCCATATCTGGCCATCACTTATTTTCCCTTAAATGACTTATCAGCCATCAGAAAGTGATAATACGTATGTCCTAAAATGTCAAAATTAGAAGTGACATATTTTGAATTTTTACTGAGAAAACACTTAAAAATTTTCAGACCAGTCCCATCGGGTTTGTGCACAGGGTGAAAAGTGATGGCCAGATATGGGAATCTTTCCTATAAAATAGTGAAGCATTTATGATTTTGTAATCAAATTTAATTTCATTTAATGTATTTGTTTCTGTTTATTCCCTCCACCAGCATGGACTTATATCAACAGCTGAAGCAGATTATTTTCTAGAACCTATTCATGATTTTTCAAGCAACACCTTTGAAGGACATCCACATGTCATCTATAAAAGAGATTCCGAATCCAAGCATCGATACAATGAGGATGGGGATTGTGGAGTTACAGGTAAGACTTTCTTAAAGAAATTCTAGCTCTGTGTTTTCTCTCTAGAGAAGTTGGCCTGTTTTTTTTCAGGGATGTGGATGTAGTAACAATTGTGTGTAACTATTTATAACAGATTCCAAGAACAACCACATTGTACACACTTGTATCTTGCTGTATCGACGCACCGATCTGTGCAGACCTTTGTGAACACTCGAAACAGCAACTTCCGAGATTTGAATTTTGAGGTTGGGTTTCTTTAACGGGTACCCAGGTAGCCGTATTTTTTTCCCATCGGTTACCCGGTTCCTGTACTACCCGCAGATGTACAATGTACAGGCCTAATCCATATCCAATGAAGTAAAAAAAAAAAAATATTAGCTTGTTGAAATTTCAACTCTGCAGATACAAGACTTTGGAAGCACTTACACAGATTGACAACCCGATATGTTTGTATGATAACCATTGTATGATTCCGTCAATGAGTACACCATTTTCTGTTTCAAACAAGGCACTACACTTTCACTTCAAAATCTCCTTCAAATTGACCAACTCAAACACACACATAGAGCGGAGATAGGCCTAATCCCATCTTTACCCGCAACTGAAGCACACTCATTCAATTCACAAACACTGTGTCGTCTGTTGAAACTACAAAGTCATATTTGCTCTTACTGCTAGCTCTGGAGTGCTCTTCTTTGTAGGAACAAAGCAAAAACAAACACAATCCACAGGACATGTTTATAAAGTAGTTCTGATACATTGTATGTGTCTAGACTTCAAAAATTGAAGCAAAATTGGTTGGAAGCAAACGAACGCTGAGAATGTCTGAGTTTATTTTGTAAAATGCAACATTTGGCATGAGAATACGCCGTATATCCACAAGTCTTAAAAACCTCAAAAACAAAACAGTGGGAAATAGTGTATAGCACCTGAGAGTCTCAAGATTATATCAAATTTTCTCACACTCTCCCGAAACGGAAACGATATTATCACAGCTTTTCACAACAATACAGGTTTTAGAAACCCTTCCTGTGCTATCATTTTCATGTGGATTAAGTCAGAGGAGCGATAATCCCCCATTGAGCCATGAGACACCCTTGAACATCTCTTGAAAAGCCTGCCAGAATAGACCCCTAGGGGGCCTTGTCTGAATGAATCTCGCCCCTTGAGTTGAGCTGGGATTTTGTGGACATAGAAATGTTTTACCCCCCAAAGGTTAGCCCATTATTGAGCCAGATAATAAGGACTGAGACCCTGAGAACATTCATGAGATTGAAACCTTTGGCGCTGCTTGATGTAAATAGTCACCATGTTGTTTTCAACATCACCCCAGTCCAGGTGACTGTGAGTGTTATTTTCTTGTTAAGTTTTAGCATCTTGGGTGATGTCTGCTGTACGTTGTTGTAACATTGGATGGTTAATGAGATTGAGAAGTTTTATAAAGTAATTGGTTGGTGTTGTGATGGAATGTGAATTGCTTTGAACTTGGAGTTGTGTTTTTTGCTTTGAAACATTTTTTCATTATACCTGGTCATCTTCTTTGATGGAATCTGTCAGAATGTGTACAGTACCCCTATTAAAACTGACAGTCTTTTACAGTCATGTCTTTTTCAAAGTCATGTGTGTGCAGTTTCCCATGGTGTTGGAATTTGCCAGGATGGCATGGTCCTAGTAAATCATGCTAGGGAGTTGGGGTTAAAGCATGGAGGCATGGTTAGTGATTACTTTCGTATGCAATCCCCCCTCCCCCTCCCCCTCCCCCCCCCCCTCCAAAAAAGAAGAAGAAACTGCAGGTATTTAAAGATGCCATTCAATGAGACAAATCATGACAAAGGAATAAATGACTCTGTCACAGCGCACAAATTTGAATAGCTTGTGACTTAACTTCGAACTGAATCACTTGTGGTTGACTTACGAATGACAAACTTTCAACCCTGGTTAAAGTGCAATGACCTTGTAGGTTTATACAAAAAATAAGAGAAAGCGACCTCAAAAACCCTGAAGGATAAGAACAAAGGGTTTACATCAACTCCAGTATGCATTATCAATAGAAGACCCAATTTAAACTGACCAGTGTTCTCTATGTTATTTATTAATTCATTTGTTGCACGTTATTAATATTGCACTACCACTTAGGCCGAAGCCTTGAAGTTTGGTGTTTGGAAGCATTTGAGCACTAAATTTACTTTCTGGTCCAAAATTAATGAAAAGCGGCAATTTTCATTTCAAGGACAGGTCAATTTTGGGATGCTTAAAACAAAGTGTTTTTTTTTCAGGAAGGCAGAAATTCATCCCCAATTACGGTTCTGTAAATCTTTTCATGTTCTCATTTTGAAAAAGTGATTATTAGTATTTTTTTTTAGGGGGGGGGGGGGGACACAACTTTCTCAATAGCCTATTGCACCTTTTATTTTTCATACTCTGCATGCTATAATAGCGGTTTGATTTATCTGACCTTAAAACAAGTCTTGCATCACTTAAAATATAAATTATACATGCTCATTGATCCACTTGATTTAATTATTGAGGTTCGTGGCGAACTAATGGGTTTCTTCACGTGTGAAGTTTTCCCCGTACCTTGGAGGCTTTGATATTTTGCGCCAAAGGTATCAATCTTTGATATCTCTTCAAACACACTCCCTGCCTCATCAGGTATATAATATAGGCCTAGTCCTCCACAAAGCAGAATTCAGTATTAAAGGGTGTTTTGTTGATGTCGCATAACGTCACCGTTCAATACGAATTGAGCTAACATTACAAGATGATTTGGGTGAATGTTTTCGTGGTTGTGAGTGCCAGTGCAATGGTGGGAGCGTATTTGGGCCCGTGGGTGTGTGTGCCAGTACAAGATAAGGCACTGGCTTGCCCTCCAGATTGGCAGGTATTTGGCGATTTCTGTTTTCGCCTCTCTGGTAATGAGCGCAAAGGTTCCTGGCAGGAATCAATTGACGTGTGTCGAGATCTGGGAGGGGAAATGGCAGCTCCACAGTCATCTGAGGAGAATGACTTCATTTCGACACTCGAAGAGTCTGATGTGGCCTGGATAGCGTGCACCTTGAATTCACCGGGTGTTTGGGTGTGCGACGGTCGTGAACCTGGCACACAGATGGACTTTCTTGGATGGGACGGCCCTCAACCACCACATGATTCCAGAAAGTCCTGTGGTTCAATCAAAGGAAGGTGGCAAGCCCGACCATGCGATGACGATCATAGAGCTGTCTGTGTTCGACCAGTCGCCTGTGTCTATCACCCAATACCGGGAGCATCTGCCAAACATCTCCGCATCCGTCAAGATACTTGCATCCAGCTCACCGGCACCGAAGCTGGTGGGACCACGACGGGCCAGTCACGGTGCCTCACCGGTCACGTCATCAAGGAGTTTGCGGTCCAAAGCGTGAATGGTTGTGCCGCACGCTGCATCTCTGAGCCTGAGTGCCTCTCCTTCAACGTCTTGAGCAACGGAGAAGAATTAATGTGTGAACTGAACGACTCCAACGGCTCTGAAGATTCGGATGAATTTTACGAGTCAGAAAACTGCATTCTTTATCACTTGGAGTAGGAGGCAGTTTATCAAAACTGCATTCTCCACTGCATGGAGTAACAGGTTGATTGATTCAAACTGCACCCTTTACTACATGGGGCAAGAGGCATGAAGACCCGAACTGCACCTGCTGCTAGATGGAGTAAAGGTAGATTGATTTAAACAGCACCCACTACTTCATTGAGTCTAGAAGGCTGATCCTACATTTAACTGTCATCACTACTGTACAGTGTACCAGAAACTGAAACATTAGAGCAGTTTGTCTTAGAGACACTGAACTCAGAAAACTGTTTCATTGGTTTACTTGTGAACTAATATGGGACTGTCAAGGACACAATTTGTTTCACTTTTTCAAATATTACAGCGATTTGCAATTTTTGTGTGTGTCGTGCATAATTCTTGTTCGATGTATTCATTATTCAAATATAAATTAGTAAGTTTTTAACTGTTAATTTTAGATAATTAGTTGGATGTTTTCGTGTGAAAATCTCCCATTATTTGATTGGTTCAATAGGCCACTTTAAATGACGTTGGTACAGTGGTGTTTCACTCGCCTTTCACCTATTCATTACACCCGGGGTTCGAGGGTTCGACACCAACCTAGGTACATTCAGTTACTTCCTCATCACGTGGCGTTTACGTCTACCCAAGATATGTTACAATTTGGGGATGGAAACAAGGTTTTTTTTAGCGTGAATTGAGACAATGTCTTAAATACATTTATGACCACAATTGATAACCTCGATATAAATAACCTCTGACGTTGATTTTTTTTGTGAATTAAGAATAACTCATAATTATCGATGGATATTAGAAAATAGCTCACGGGCTTGTGTTAAAAAATTAAATTAGAGGATGAAGGCAAGAAATCATACCAGTGCAAATTTTTTTTTTATTAAACGAAAAGTATTAAAGAAGGATGTGATCCACAACTTGTCCAATATTCCCAGCATGACATCAGCATTAATAAGGCTGAGGGAATGCGGTGTGTTGGACTAGGAATCCAGGCTGACATTTTGCCTTACAGACAGGGCATTTCTGAAGGCCAATCCATTTACCTGGCTCTGAAAAAACCCAGACACTTGCAAAACAAAAAGTTAATTCCAAACAAAAAATGGGGTGATTAGAATTAACTTTCATAAGTTTGAAGTAATGATCATATAACGTTGATAGAATAGGAACCATTGAAAGTAGAATTTGACCCCTCCTCCCCCCCCCCCCTTCAAGCGGTTTTGAGAATGTTTTATTAACTTAAGCCTTTTTTAGATTATTTCCAGACTTGATTTTGCCAAGTTTAAGACTTGACTTAACTACTTTAATTCCATCACGCAGCCATTGCAGAGAGAAGTCATCAATTAGGAGATATTTCCTTAGATTCCGTGACAGATATGCACAGGAAACGTTTTACTTGGGAAGTTGCCAGACTGACTTTTGCCATTTAGGATTCTCATTTTGATGTAAAGATGAAACAGCCAGGAACAAACAAAACAACTTACCTATCATGGCAGAGAAAAGTTTAGTTATGAAACTGACCTGAAAATAACTTGAAGCCATGACCTGATTTGGGATTCGACCAATCAGTGAGTCACAAGGTTGGGGAGTGGGAAGGTTGATAAAAGTGCTCGCAAACTTGAATACATGCAGTCGCCAGCAAAGCAAGGATGATTCTATCTATCTGGGAGATGCACCTGTCAGAGTTCTTTCACAATGTCACTGTCATTCTTGAGGGGGGAGGTGGGGGGGGGGGGGGGATTGTGTAATGGGAGGGTCACTGACTCACCCCTTTTGGCTCAAGAGGGGGAAAGTACCCCATTCAGGAAATGGTCTCATCATCCAGGGGATGTATTCACTCATACCTGGAGGGGGGTTGGGAACTTGACATGAGTAATCACATAAGTCACAGCCTCAGGATTAACTCACACTGTCATTGTGAGACCCAGTTTCTGTGACCATGGGCTCATAGAGGAGGGGGTAAGGGAGATCATAACTGGCAAGGGATAGAGTGGGGTTTGTCAGGGTTGTAACTGCCGTATGCCAGGTTTTATGTAAGGCTGCATAGAATTGGCTATGGCTTTCAATTACTCATGCGCCTATGGAAGCGGCTAAAGCCACTTGGCTTTCAATTACTCATGCGCCTATGGAAGCGGCTAAAGCCACTTCTCATAGACACTTGTGTTACTGCTAGCCGTAGCCATGTCATTGGGGACTCCAGCATGGATTCAGCTAGCCACCTGTACGATGTTAAGATTGATATCCAATGTGATTGTATGTGAAGGATATAGGCTTAGATTGCCTCAGGGTTTAGCTGCTAAATTTACGATGACAGTCGATTGATTACACTTGATACAAATACATTGGGTATCAAATTTCATTTCTCCATGTCATATTGTACATCGACGTGTGGGTCCTGCTCAGTATTTCAGACCGCACAGGTGGAAATTACTAGAAATGTCATTACTTATTGCACACCCACCTACTTCTACTTCCTCAAGCCCCTCCCCCAAAGGGGAAGGAGAAATTCGGGAAAACATTCAAACAGTTGAAGAAAGTCATATAAAACTTTCATCTGATTGATGCCCTTGTTCTGTCTGCATAGCCACAAATCATTTGCTTACTTTTTAAAATACTTGATACTTTTTTGGTTACAGGAAAAAAAATTACCTGACAAAAGAATTTTATGTGGCATTAAACAAGTTTTTTTTTCTCACTATTTGTAAGTGTAGGTGTAGGTGTGGTCCCAAATAAACTTTAACACTTGAGTATGATTAACACTAATTGTCTCGCTCGCTGACCACAACTTCCTCAAGACTGATTATATTTCATCATCATTCATAAATTGGTAATTAATACAATTAAATACATCCTCCTCATCCACGGAAGCGGCCTTATTTCTCATGATGCAGAATAGAAAACTTGCAGAGCATTTCTTGTTCTGTCACATCAAAAATAAATCAAAAACATCCTCGCATTCATATTTAAAATGTAGTTTGACCTTAGTCCAAGGACATTCAATAATTAGGTCCCTGTTATAATTTCTGTGCAAGTCTGTAGAAATATTCTCTTCCAAAAAGTACACAAGACCCAATGAACACAGTAGTCTGGGACTGCAAGGCCGGTCTTTATGAAGACCTCCCTGACATTTTTTCCTCCCCAGACATGCGACAGGATAATTTCATTTCAGAAAGTGAAATTGTTTCAGACTCGGGATTCATGGAATATTGCTGGCAACATAGAATAACATTCACAGCGTGACGTTGTGACTGTAATAATCCACGCTGGAGGGGATCTTCAATCTTCCTCCAGAGAGGAATTCTCTGTAACATTTGTCTGCCTGAGGGAGACTCAAACTGACAGGAGCTATTGGACAAAGATTGCTGCAGTTTTATTCTGTCGTGTAGAACTTCTTTTTACGTTGCAACTAATTTTCAAAGAAAATTTGATACTTTGAGTTGACAGGGATTTTTTCACTAGTGTATTTTAATTTTTATGTCCATGTAGCAGCGCATCATTCTTAAGATTTCTCACATTGCCAATTGTTTGAATGGCGCAAGATACATACATAATTGTCAGTGAACAACACATAATTCTTAAGTCTGCTTTTGTGGGGGGCAAACAATTTAAACCCGAGAATGAATTAAACTGCTGCAAATTTACTGACTGGATTGACCTGCAATATATGAAACAAACTTAAAGTGGCCTGATGTTTCAGTCTTAACAAGACCTTCTTCAGAGGCAAATGACAGTGGTACAAGACACAAACATGTAGGGGACACACAAGCATGCAAGGGTGGAAGGAGAAACACAGAGGAGGGAATAGAGGAGCAAGTGAGTGTGGCAGTAGGTGAAGATCGAAGGGGATGAAGAGATGGGATGGGACATGAAGGAACAATTTCAACCCAATGGGTTTGTATTTGGCAGTCCTCAAATTGAAGGGCCTACAGCTATACTCCCTCTTACATCAGCAGCATAGCAACTTTGTCAACGGTTAAGGACTCGGAACATGACATTTGTTGGCCCCCATTGGGGAAGCACTTTGCTTAGTAGTTCTAACCATCTCTTGAGTGTTCAGAACACCATGTCCCACATCACAACAGTCAACAATTGGCAAATATCAAATGGAGCAACACATCCCCCTGGAAAACTGATGATCATTGTCTGGTACCAACGAGACTCTTGATTGTATATTCACCCTCTAACCATGCTTTGTTTGTCAAGTATCATTTTCCCTTCAATTTACCAACAACTGACTTACCTTCCCCAGACCACTTTTCCCCCTCCCCAGACAATTTTTTTAACAGACGCCCCTTCGTTTCTGTCTTGCTGGGTCTTGACTTTCATCAATCCTGGCAAATTACAACTTAAATGCGTTGTGTGTTTCCCTGAGGTAACTTCCTGCATCAGTTGATGAACTGTTGGCTATAGTTCCCCCCAAGAAAATCCTGATTTTCTTTTCTGTGAATTCCCAGGGCACTTGGCTGTTCTTCAAAAAACAACTTTAAAGTCGCTGTAAGTTTTGACCATTCACTTTACTCACTGGGAGTTCTTTCAAGAAATTTCTGGAGGGTACGTAAAGTATTTTCTGAGTGTGATATTAATCATATCCTGTTTTTGTAACCAATTTGAAATCGTGGTGAGGTTTTTTGTTCATTGCTCTTGGCATACATTGTAATTCATACATGCCTAGCCTATCTGAAATTATCTCTGGGCTCTTGTATTTCTCCCTAGAAATGGTTTCAGATGCAATTATTATGCGTCACCCTGTTATTTTTTATTTACATGCATTTGGCTTGGTTTCCCAGTGGGTGTTCAATGTTGGTTTCTTTTTCCCTTATGCATCCTGCTCCATGTACACTCCCTTATTGTGTAACGTCATGTTACACAGAAACACGGATGTGTTTGCTACATGATTTGACCTGGAATGAACTTAGGGTCATTCTTGGTTAAAAATTGTCAGCTCATATTGACCAAGTTGCTGGCAACTCACAAAGAGGGTGAACAAAAGTTTTGTTTTGCTGCCTAAAGCCATCAACTTTATTTTACAAGACAGAAATTGAAACCCATTTTGCTGCAGGCTGAAACCAATTTCAATGTTCACTTCAGCAACAATTCTTCAAGTTTGTTTAAAAATAACCTGCAAATGACGGAGATGAAACATTCATGTCCACTGTCCCGACAATTGCCCATTGAATCAATACTGCTGGTTCCACAACGTTGAACATTTGGGTCTCTAGAGGCTAAGGCACATTTTCCCAGCGGGTAGCATACCGTCATGTCTGCGTCTCAGACGACGATGCAGACATGTTCTTGAGAGGTACATGTACTCCTTGAGTCTATCGATTGAATTCGTTGGCTGGTTCGAGTCGAGTCTGTGGCGTCAGTGAGGTGCAGAGCCTGAAGGCTGAGGCAGATGGTGAACTGGGCAGACGAAAAGGAGACATCACTTGTCAAGTGCGGTGGTTGTGTAAAGTTACTTGTGAAGTTGCTTGTGAGTTAACCATCTCGTTATACTTGTGCTTAAAACTGTCCTCTCTTTTTACTGGAACTGAAGGGCTAGCCTATGTGCTGTGATTAAGTTACTGACGGACTGACAGACTGACGGACTGACTGATTGATGGACTGACTATGTGTTGTCTTAAACTAAGACTAGGTCTAGCTGGACTAGAAAAGTCAAGTCTTCTTTCTTCCGGCTCAGAATATTTTCCCTCATATTTTCTCATTATTCACACTGTCACAAAAGCAGAACCAGACATTCATGTGTGATGGAGTACACTCTGTTTTTGTTTTGACTCCGAGCGACAGTCTGGGACAAAGTTTAAATTCTTGTGAAAAAAAAATCTATAATCAAGTCTTTAATCATGGCCAGATTCATGAATTTCGATCCTTTAATCATTATGCCAGTAAACTGTCTGTACACTTTTACTATGGCAATAAAAGAAACCACTTTTCAATGTATGTACCATCAGACCAGACTATCAGTGCACTTGAGTTACAGACAATTTACCTATGGTCAGTGAGTATAAAGAGTTAGTATCCATTGACAGTGCAGTATCACAATATTTTTTTTTATGAAGAACAACAGCGCATCGTTTGAAGTGCACTCATCCAGAAAATCCATTTCAGACGCCTGATCTTGAAAACTGAAAGCCTTTTCTCAAACGATTAATTTCTGAATAAAAAAAAAAAAACCCTGCCAGGCTGCCACTTGTGCTGGTTGAATGAAAAGGTCATCAGTCAATGCCAGAAACATTTTCCAAAGTTTACCCTGTTGGAGCACATAGTCTGGATTTGGGTGACATTAGCTTCAAGGCAGGAAACATTAGCACAGCAGGTGCGCCTGAAAACGATACTGTAAGAAAATAAGGTCTATTTTGACTGGGGAGTATCGGTTTGTGGCCGTTGGGAGTTTATTGCGGCGTTGCAGATTGAGAACGGAACGGATTGAGTTGAAGTTGGGTATGAAGGGCCAATTCAAGCGATGACTAGGCCTAAATCTTGCAGGACGGGGGACGTTTTGATAGGGCCAATGGGGGACTAGACGTGGGTATTATTCACCGTTTAAATTGGAACAGGTGGATTGAGGTCCGACGGTGAAATCATCCTTCCATTGGCTTCTTGAACTTTCCTGTTGCCAAGAAAAAGTTGATGACAGGTAGAAACTGGAAATTGTTGCAAGTCTCAGGTTTGAGTTGATCAACTTTGGTGTGTCACTTGT